GTTTCACGAAGGATTTAGGGACTTCTGTGTAATTTTTCTTTTCTTCAGGGTCCTTTGTGATGTTTGGCTGGGACAGCGGTCTCTGTATCCTATACGTACGTATCTATATTCGTACATTTATATGTACGTTTTACTTATCTAGAAATACAGATGCGTATTAAAAAAAAGATAGGTCTCAAGATGGTACGCTGAATGCCCAAAGAAAGACGCATACTCAAGCCCACTGATACTGACAGAGTTGAGACAAATTGATGGCCCACGAGGTACGAGCAGCAGAACATTAAAAAAGGTCTCATTCCAGTTCCAACAAGCCAGCTTGATCGCTCGGTCATATTTAGCTTATAAGCCATGACTTATTAGTCAACGAACAGTATTTTTCTCTCACACTAAATCAGTCAACGATACTTTCAGCTATGGTTTATAAGCCAAACCAGCCCAAGCGTGAGCCAACAGCACACCGGCACTGCGAGCTACCTGCAGTCCGGTCTTCTTCGAGCTAATCGAGCAGTACTGCGATCGGGCAAGGTTGGCTCAGTTGGGTGACCCAACCCTCTCCAAGTCTCCATACCTCCATGCCGTCTTTTTATAAAAGTAAATGTAAAAATAAAAAAAAATAAAATAAATGGTAAACCAAGGTGCCTGCCCCCGGTTTGGCTGTTTCGCTGACGCTCCCGGCTTCAAACCTCAGTACAGTACCAGTACCTCCTCACTCCAGCACGGCAGCGCGGCGGCCCCCTCCACCCGTTTCTCCGCTTCGTCAAGTCAAACCCACTCTGGCGGCCCTTCTAAAGGCGCTCAGACCAGACCATCCGAAAAACAGTTGGCCAGCTTCATCACTGCCCCCGGTCGTCTGCTAGCATGCTACGCCACCTGACCTGCCGCTTGACATCTTTGTCCATTGCGAGTAGATACGATACAGCCATAGGCACGCAGGCGTCATCCCTCGCCTGGCACGTCCCGTGTTCAGCTAGGCCTGCTGCGCTGCATCTTCGCGCGCGCGCGCTGGATGGCTTGCGCACGTATTTGGTAGGAAGTAGAGTACCGACGGGCGACGATCGGCAGCAAACCAGCAACAGCAATGACGCCGGCTAACCGATGGCTACTCCTACGGCTACGGGTTTTGCGCTCGTATTCAATGTGCCCCGTCGCGTGCATTCAAGGGGCTCCCCCACAAGTAGGTGAGGGGAGAGCCGAGGCTCCAGCTGCCCGCCCGCACGCGGCGCGCTCACGTTGGGTTTGGAGCGGTCCGCTCGACCAACCAACGACCCCTGACGGCAATTTATGGGGGTGGGTTTCCGGTCCAGAACCCGGCCTGAGTCGACTCCGTCTCCTGTCCCGCCAAGCCAGCAGGACCCTCGTATACGTACCGTACGCTCCTCCCACTCCACGCAGCACGCAGGACCCATCCCCGAGCCACTCCGGTGCGTGCGGCGCACGGGATGGGATCGGTCGTCCAAGGATTCTAGTTCTACTACTAGGCCAGCGTGAGTGGGGGCGCGCACGTATTCATTGCCGTCCGTCCGCGTCGGCTTGAATCGCTGCCCCTTCCGGTGCGACTGGCCGACGCGACTGAAAAAACCCAGTGTATGAGCGCCCGCGGAGCCTGTCTTAATGGTGCAGAGTATGTTGAGATCTGTGCCGGGTCCACAGCTGCATGCAGCTACCGAATTGTATATTCACATAGCCTCCACATCGGTCAACAACCGCCTCCACTCATTTTACGGCCTCGATTTTTATGGCTGGATTCAGGCCTCATGAGCGCCTGTGGAGCTTAGTGGATGCTTCTTGGTCGTTTCCTGCTGCCATGATTTGGAACAACCATGTACGGAGATCCAGGAGCGATTTGATCCGTTGCTGGAAGAATCCTGCCGCCTACGTTGAACTGCATTGGTGGTTGGTAAAACGGCGGCGCGTTGTTGAATGCAGGAGTAACTCAGACTGGAGCGCTTGACCTCATATGGGGTTCTTGAGTAGTGGTATTTACGTACGCTCCATAAATCGGGTGGAAATACGCATATGGCTGAACCCCATCGCCGTGAATAGTGGGCGGAGCGGTAGGAAGCATTGGAGTACAACGAAAAACAAGGTTTGGGGATCTAGGGTTTGGGGGCAAAGCACACGACTAAAAAAACCTTGCGTATGAGCGCCCGTGGAGCCTATCTTAATGATGCAGGAGTAACCCAGACGGATGCTCCATGGAAGAGTATTGGGACTACAAGTGACTAACAAGTGAGGTGCAAGGATGCAGATGAAGTTGGAAGAAGAATGGGAGAAGCAATAGCGATCCAAGGAAGAATGCAACCAACGGTAGTTATTTTCTTCCTGCCCCCTTGGGAATAACATTTTTTTGTTTGCCGCCAATGCTATTCACCAGAACGTAATCGCAGTTCACCATCCTTTATATAGGTACCGCACCACGTCTTCGGTCTTGTCTGAGATAGACATGGCACAGAGCAGAGCATCAAAGAGCCGCGCACTCCCTTTTCCCTTGGCAGAGATAGCCGGCGCAGAAAGCAGCATGGACAGTGTGGTGTCCTTTAAAACTAGTGTACAGTGAAAAACATGACATGTGCACTGGGCACACTTGTTTACTCCTGTAGAATCTCAACAACCTATTGGTTTTGATTACCACTTTCACTAGCTTGAAGGGAACCTATATTTTGATCTTATCTAATTAGGACACAATTTTTTTGTGCAATCAGCACTTCTCAATTCAAATAAATTCATCAAAAATACTTCTAATGTTTAGAAGTACTGAACTTTAAAATGATCATTAGTTATGATATAGGAATAGTGAGTGACTAGAACGAGCATGGATAGATAGTGTCTATAAAACATGTAATTATTTAGTCATAATTAGTGACTAGAACCATCACCAATTGAGATTCTCTTGATAGGACATAAGGTGATACACATCACATAGTAATACTAATGCATTAAAGACATTTGAGAATATAACAAAAATGATATTTAGTACAAGCAGGAACCATTTTCTAAATCATTTTTTCTGTTTAAAAAAATTGATTATCATGCATGATAGTACTTCGTACATTCATTAAAATTCAGTAGATAACAAAAAATGATATTCAATATAGACATGTACCAATTACTACAACATCATTTCTTCCATTTTTCCAAAAGAACTGATTAGCATTAGTGATATAATTTTGTGCTTAATCTTGATCCTCAATAGTCTAGTTTTTTTGTAAACCCGGATATTATAAGTTTTAAAAATAAGTCTGAAAACTTGAATTGTTTATTATCTGATGGATTTTTTTTGCCAATACTGTTAGTATTGTGAACATGTGTCCATACATTTTAAGAGTTAAGTTGCTAATTTTGCAAAAGCTCATTTTTTGTGTGCATTGAACGATAGAAACAACAAAAGAAACCTTGACGAATTTAGTTACCTATAGATAGCGGCTATACTTAGCATCAACCAGGCACCATGTACCATTTCTATAAAAAAAATGGGAAAAGGGACATACAACTTTTGCAGAATGCTTTTGACGAATTGGTGAACTGACGTTCCATGCTATTAAGACTTTAATGTAAACGATATACTTGTCAAGAAGTGCAAATATGCATGCTTGCGTTATTAATTACACTGCAGTGCTAATGGTTGAACGAAAACTGAGAAATGTCAAAGTGGATTAATAACAAGTAAATATCACGATTGTTTGGGGATTTGTTTGAGCAAATTAGGGACAATAAGAAGAAATGTAATAATCTCTAACAAGCAGTGCAATGCATATAACTAAAAGGATCAAACGACAAAAAAAACTTGCAGAGCCCATGACTCTAATAAAAAACAAAAAAAAGACACAGGAGCCGCTAAAACTCATAGTGAAGATAAAAAGTAAACAAAGGGATACGACCATGTTCGGCTTACCCCATATTCGACTTGTTCGACTTTTTTTTTTCAGCCGGAACAGTATTTTTCTCTCACAACAATTCAGCCAGAAACAGTGTTTTTAAGCCAGTTTTAGCCAAAATTCTGCTAGCCGAACAGGCCAAAATTAAGCTAAAGATAATAAGAACAACAAAGGATAATCATCTTTCTTAACAAAAAAACTAAAAAAACGGAAAGTATAAAGATGGAAAATATCTTCAGTCGTACGGAACTATAAAATTAAATGAGTGTCTAATAAATATTATCCTAGTTCTGCAGCTAAACAGCCTAACGATAGGAACACTCTGAAAATAAATTAGAAAAAGTATAGAACATAAAAAAAACGAAAAAATATAACAATGTACATGACTGGGGAGGCGCGCATAACACAGATTTAAAAAAATAAGACCGACAATACATAACTAGAAAAAAATATTATCCAATAAAGATGATCAATGTTCTACAGCTAAAACATCCGACCAATATAAACAATGTGTAGAGATATTAGAAACAATGTAGAAAATAAAAAAAGAAAAATATATAATAATGTCTATGATCGGGGGAGTCAGGAATAACACGGACATAAAAAAACGACAAACATTAACGGTAACAAAGTACATGAGTTTGAAAAAAACAAACGGTGGAAAGTGAAGCACTGGAACTCAAGAATTTATGACACAATACACAGAAGACGTTCACGTCCAGTTGACTATTTCGTATGTACGACATAGACGATGAGGCGAAAGTTTCAGGCACAAATGAGCCCCCAAGGCAAAACTGTAGTTGATCAGGCGGGACCTAAGATAAAAAAAAAACCTACAAATATGTACTACGGACGTTTCCAATCAGAAGCATCCGCTAAGTTCCACGGGCGCTGACGCTAAAGGTTTTGCATTTCAGCTGGCGGACTGCTATATAGCCTCGCCTCTCGATCACGTCCTCGCAGCCTGCACTGCCTAGTCACTCACTGCGGTCCACGTGACCTCACTTATTTCTCCTGTCAGCGCAGCATAGCAGCAGCCTCCTATAGCTTTTACCTTAGCTTCGCTCGCCCGGGTCCGGTGGATCGGATCAGCCACCGTCCGGTCGGCAAAGAAGAACGAAAGCGATGGAGGCCGGGGCGTGGGCGGTGGCGGCGGCGGCCGTGGCACTGTACTTGGCGTGGTTCTGGCGGATGGCGCGCGGGCTCAGCGGGCCGCGGGTGTTGCCGCTGGTCGGCAGCCTCCCGGGCCTCGTGCAGCACGCCGAGGACATGCACGAGTGGATCGCCGCCAACCTGCGCCGCGCGGGGGGCACGTACCAGACCTGCATCTTCGCCGTGCCCGGGGTGGCGCGCCGGGGCGGGCTGGTCACCGTGACGTGCGACCCGCGGAACCTGGAGCACGTCCTCAAGGCGCGCTTCGACAACTACCCCAAGGGCCCCTTCTGGCACGCCGTCTTCCGGGACCTGCTCGGCGACGGCATCTTCAACTCCGACGGGGAGACGTGGGTGGCGCAGCGCAAGACGGCCGCGCTCGAGTTCACCACGCGCACGCTGCGCACCGCCATGTCGCGCTGGGTGTCGCGATCCATCCACGCCCGCCTGCTCCCCATCCTGGGCGACGCGGACGTCGTCGACCTGCAGGACCTCCTGCTCCGCCTCACCTTCGACAACATCTGCGGCCTCGCGTTCGGCAAGGATCCCGAGACGCTCGCCAGGGGCCTCCCCGAGAACGCCTTCGCCTCCGCGTTCGACCGCGCCACGGAGGCCACGCTCAACCGCTTCATCTTCCCGGAGTGCGTGTGGCGGTGCAAGAAGTGGCTCGGGCTCGGCATGGAGACCACGCTGGCGCGCAGCGTCCAGCACGTCGACCGATACCTCTCGGCCGTCATCAGGGCGCGCAAGCTCGAGCTCACCGGCGGCAAGCAGAAGAACAACGGCGACGACGCATCGTCGGCCACGCCGCACGACGACCTCCTCTCGCGCTTCATGCGCAAGGGGACCTACTCCGACGAGTCGCTGCAGCACGTGGCGCTCAACTTCATCCTCGCCGGCCGCGACACCTCCTCGGTGGCGCTCTCCTGGTTCTTCTGGCTGGTCTCCACGCACCCGGACGTGGAGCGCAGGATCGTGCGCGAGCTGTGCGCCGTCCTGGCCGCGTCCCGCGGCGTCGAGGACCCGGCATTGTGGCTCGCCGCGCCCTTCGACTTCGAGGAGCTCGACCGCCTCGTCTACCTCAAGGCGGCGCTCTCGGAGACGCTCCGCCTGTACCCCTCGGTGCCCGAGGACTCCAAGCACGTCGTCGCCGACGACGTGCTCCCGGACGGCACGTTCGTGCCCGCGGGCTCGTCGGTGACCTACTCCATCTACTCGGCGGGGCGCATGAAGGCGGTGTGGGGGGAGGACTGCCTCGAGTTCCGCCCCGAGCGGTGGCTGTCGGCCGACGGCACCAGGTTCGAGCCTCACGACTCGTACAGGTTCGTGGCGTTCAACGCCGGCCCGCGGATATGCCTGGGCAAGGACCTCGCGTACCTGCAGATGAAGAACATCGCCGGGAGCGTGCTCCTCCGCCACCGCCTCGCCGTCGCGCCGGGCCACCGCGTGGAGCAGAAGATGTCGCTCACGCTGTTCATGAAGCACGGGCTCCGGATGGAGGTGCGCCCGCGCGACCTCGGCGCCGTCGTCGACGAGCTCCGCGGCGCCGGGGAGTACGACGTGGCGGCCAGAGCCACCGCGGCCTCTGCCTAGAGGTTCGTGCAGGTCGGCCGGTGAAGGAAACGGCGGCGGACAGTTGGAAACGGCAAATGAAAAGTTATGTAGATATAGACAGTAAGTAATTAAAGAGTTTGGTGAGGTATATTACTCAACTCGATTTGGAACATAAAATGCATGTGTAAAAAGTCCATGTCATGTCATTTTGATTTGTATTTGAATGGAAGACGAAGAAAAGAGGGCTAGCTCACTAGCTGGAGAGCAATAATAATCTCTCTGATGATGTAACCTGACGCGGAGGCGCCAAATTCGTTTGGGCGGCTTGTGTTAATGGGCCGCCAAAACTGATGTTGTTTGTAAAACAAAACCCAAGCATGACATCAATCATTTGATCAGTCTCAATCTCTATATGGTTATGAATATGAATGCTACGGGCACTTTGTCTTCGGAATTTCGTTACTGACAGCAACAGCAGCTTGTGCTATCTCTCCAAAGTCCCGACCACGCACCACCGCTACGCTACTCCATGGATGGAGAGCAGCTGTTGCTTTCCATTAAGGGCCCGTTCGTTTCGAGCGGGACCGAGTGGCGGAACCGATTCCGGCCGGAAGGCAGCTGTATTTTATATCCGTCAGTTATCACCGGAAAGCGTTCCGACCGGAAATCGACGTAAACGAACGGTCCATCGTTTAAGAACGGTGCGATCGCGAACAACCGGCTCGTTCATTCCATTAATGGTTTGAATTTGAGCCGGTCCTTTAATGCCGTTGGTTGCACCGTTTTGTCTGATGAGGAGAAGCCTGCATCGCGTGCAGCTTCAATGGCTACTGGCTCGCGGAAAGCTGGTGGAGTACTGAAGTGGAGCGGGCGATGCTGACCCTTTGTATGTACGCCCTCTGGAACAGAAGTCGTTACGTGATGCCTGTCACTCAAACTTTTCTCAGCTTTTACTAGATTTAAAGAAAATATGTACAACATTTATATCCCTAAATAAGTTTATTATAAAAATATATTCAACGATCTATCTAATGATACTAATTACGAACATCCTAGTGCCCGGACCCTGCGATGCGAGAGCTACGTCCGGACGCCGCTCCCCTCCCCAAACCATCCGTCCCTCATAGAATCGGATCGGAATAGAATAGAATGGAATCCACTGCGCCCTAGTCCTCCATTCCCACCGCCGCGCCCCTGTCCCCGTTTCCCACCGCACCCTGTTCCCCCACCGCGCCCCATTTCCCACCGCTCCCTTGTCCCAAAAGCACGAAACACTTCAAGTGCAATCATCGCAAAAAATATGTGAACTGTGTAGTGCAACATCGAGATATAAATACTATAAAATCACAAAACTATGTAGTGCAACATCGAAAATTCATCGAAAAATTGTGTACTGCAACATTCAAAAAGTATGTACAGCAACATCTCAAGCAGTAGTACTACAACATCGCAAAATCAACCATAAAACATGGAAAAATGGAAAAACAACTCAATAATCATCTTTCAGTGCTGCAACATTTGAAAAGGGTAATTTCAACAAATAAAATCCACTATTGAATCCCAACATTAGAACTCCCTTTTTGCAACACATGAATCACCCTATTGCAACATTGAAAATCATCTGTTGCAACATCCCAAAAACACCATTGCAACACGAAGAAACAGTAAAAAAAACTTACAAAACAGAAAGGGTACGGGTTCGAGGTGCAGGCTGCTCCAACCCCTGGCCCATCACCTTCGAGCTTGTCGGAGGGAGGAGGGAATATGACCCTAGAGTTCGTTGGAATCCCTAACCACCGCCGCGTCCCTCAGATCTAGAGAAGAAGGAGGAGGAGGAGGGCTCAGATTCAGAGGAGGAACAACCTACCTCCTCGGAGCCGCCACGGCCATGGAGTGGGGGGAGGGGACGCCATGGAGGCCGCCGGACTTGAAGGAAGATGCACGTGGAGGAGGGATGGCTGGATCCATGGAGGTGAGGGGGAGAAGGCTTGCTCGAGCCGCCATGGAGTAGGGGGAGCGGCCGCCATGGAGTAGGGAGAGAGGGTCGCGGCCGCAGCGACGGAGAAGAAGCGGTGTGCAGTGGAGGAGCTCGCAGCAACGATGCGAAATGAGGAACAACGTCGCTCTATTTTATTCATTGTGGAACTCTGTAGGTGGGCCGGTGGGAGGCCTAACTAGCGCGCCCGACGGGATGGACGTCCGATAAGAAGCATTAATTCATTAATTATGTATTATACATATTAATATTTTATATATATATTTGATCAAAGTTAAAAGTGTTTGACTTTTCGGGAGATGAGAATGACATCTATTTTGAGACCGAGGGAGTAGGACTCAGGAGTACTAGTATTTCCATTAGTACAATAGTACTCGATGATGAAATGATGGATTGTCACCCACCGTTTTGTGCTTGTGCACTATGATGGACCGATCACCGATCAGTGCCTCATCCAATGGGTATCATAAGCTGTTGCTTATTATAGTTTGTTGTTTTGCCGTGCAACACTAACATCTGGTACTTTCCCGTTAGATAGCAATAGCCTGACTCACATTTGCTGATTAGAATCTCCGACTTCCCATTGATGAATTGGAATTCATTTCCACAATGATTTCCAATCTTGGAAAAAGATAAATCCAGAACTCTTGAATCCCCGACTTCCCATTGAAGAATTGGAATTCATTTCCACCATGATTTTCAATCTTGGAAAAAGATAAGTCCAGAACTCTGACTCTCTGAGCCACCGGATGAAAACTACTCAGGAACCACTTGGATCCTTTCATTATGTAGAAATTAGAATCTACATAATAGACTAAGCTATTTGACTAAGAATTTAACATTTCATAACCTTTTAAAGTTCATATATAAGTCTATCTTAAATTTATAGTGTGAGATATGAAAATTAATTTTATAGGTCACCATGCTACGTTTCTATTTTGCAACTTATAACATGCTATTCGACTCGCTCCCTATAATCTCTCTCAAATGGCCAACAAAATTGATTTGTGCCTAAATTATGATTATTAGAATGAAATTCAGTTATATCCGGCTATAATTCAAGAGCTTGAAATAAGTTAGGTTAGTATTGCGTCCATCAATACAATAACCACATGTAAGGCCAGTTTTAAAGTGGTTTCATAGAGATTTTATACTTATTTATTATAGTGTCATATTAGTAAAAACGATGAAGTGATATAAAAAATTAAGAGGAGAGAGAAGATGTGTTTCATCACCGTGAGTGCAAGAGAGAAAATGAAACTAATTATAACTTGTTTGGTACAGTTTCAGCCTCAGCCAAAATAGTTCTAATTGTGGCTTCTTTAATGAAGGGACCTTTTTTATGCTTAGTAAAATAACCCTTGTTGTTGGAAAAGCTGGAAATGTCCATAATACCTTTATTTTTTTCTTCTCTCTTTTTCCATTATATTCCTTCATTTTTCTTTCACTTTTATTTCTCTTTTCCTTCCTCTTCTCTCCCCACCTTACCTCGTCTCCCATGCCTCCACCTCATCGCACGCACATCCGACCCCGTGAGGCTCGTCTCGCCACCATCTACCCCCCTGGCGCCACACTTTCGCGCTTGTCGCGCTATTGTCATGCACTCCTCCATTGCCTTTCCTAATGTACCTCCTACACGGGCTTCTCCCTTGCTGACTGCAGGAGCTCGTCAAGAAGAAGGACACGCTGGTGAAGGGAATCCACGTCCATGCGCTACGCGCCTCACCTAGGGAGCCGGTGGAAGCTGCTTTTTAGCTCCACCGCCCGCTCACCCCTACGAGAGCACATTTCCCGTGGCTTCACGTGTAGAGCCGAGCGGAGCTGGCCCCATTTGCTTGTGTAGATGCTGAAGTAGCTTTGCGAGCTGGTGAAGAAGCTTCACAAAACACTCCTAACAATCCACAACTATCTAATTCTAGAGTGGAAAAGAGAGAGAAAAAGGCCCTAACAATTAATACACCATCACTTTTGGTGCGTTTAGTAGGGATTCAGATTTTCATAAAAACATTTTAGATCCAGATTCTCTCAAGAAACATTTCAAGTGATAAATTGGAATCATTTGTGAAATCGTTTTGGCTGGTAGGCTATTTTCCGGCTCACAAAAATTGTTTTTTATAAAAAAATCATATAAACAAAAACATTCTTCAAAAAAGTTCAGAACCTTTTGTGGACAAAGAACAATTTAAATACAACACATTTTAACTTATTTCACTTACAAAGAATTATAAACGGATAAATATAATTGTTAGAAGAGAAGGGAAGCAAAAGAAATGGTACTAAAATCAGTGCGAAACTAGCACGCACCCAATTCTAGTTCCCCGATAGAGAACGAAAGATATTTCCAGTCTGAAACATCTCATCATTTAGACGTTTTGGCCCCGTTCGCTTCGCTGAAAAAAAAAAGCTGAAACACTGTTCCAGTTGATTTGTTGTGAGAGAAAAATACTGTTCCAGCTGAAAAGTACGGATTATAAGACAAGTGAACGGGTGTCATTTCAGGGTTCGTTATGGATTTTAAGGTCCAGGCAAGAATCCAAAAGGTTTATGCTATTCAGAGCACCCCTAACGCATAGTTTTTTATGTGTGCTTCGTTAGTGAAATAGACTTGGATTAAAAAAAAATATGTGTTCTACATGTGACAGTGGTACGTGCATCAGCTACGATAGCATCAATAGAGAGAAGATAGTAGGCACCAAAATTGTAAGGGAAAAAAGGAAGAGAAGAGAGAGTTTTAGGGACAACAAAAATATAATTGGATTGGATGGATAGTAACTTAAGTTTTTCATTTCTAATTAGACCTGCTACTTTTAGATGAAACCACGATTACTACTCACTTCGTAAAAAACGGAATTCTAGCTTTGAATCTGGACGAGTGAATGACACTAAATCTAAGTCTAGAACGAAAAAAAAAGAGAAAGAAGGGTGGGACACATAACTAGCCAACGAAAATAAATAAAATAACCGTTGCTCTCACGTCTCTGTACAAGCTACAGTACCATCACGCGGAATAAATCCTCGAAAGTTTTCCGAAAAGGTACAGATCCCCGAAACCTCAGATCTTCTGCACCTACCCCATGGCCACACTGCCACAGCACGCTTGATGTGAAAACAGCACTACAGCAGCGCCCGAGCGACGGAGCGAGAGAGCACACCAGCGCAACGGTGGCCGGCCGCAGGAGCTCGGAGCCGCAGAAGATCACGCCACCGCCGTCGCCTCCTTTCTTCCCTCCGGGTTAGCGCACACGGCACACAGCTCTCGCTGCTGCTCCTCTCGCAGCTTGTTTGGAGCCGCTTCTTAACGGCTTTTTACGGGGAAAAAAGGCGAGGTTTTTAACTACGCGTCGTTATAAAAGTTAATAATTACATATAAGTTATAAAAAATTGAGTTTTTATAGGATGCCATTGCTCTGAACTCTTTTGTCCTTTATACCACTTCCGTCAGATTTAGCTCTAACAGTGTTAAATTGTGTGTGTGAAAAGTCAAAAATACTCTTAGGTCTAAATACGAAATTAATTTTTTTTAGTATGTTAATGACCTCAAATGAAAAAACTAAAAACTAGAAAGGTGTAGATCTCGACAATATCTACAATTTTTGTAAAAAATTATCTTTCATTTAATTCCGTATAAAAAATAATAATTTGATATAATTAATATATCTTAGAAAAATCACACTTTTTATACAAAATTAAATGAAAATAATTTTTATATAAATATTGTAGATCTCGATGAGATCTATAACTTTCTAGTTTTGAGTTTTTCCATTTGAGATCGTTAAGATGCTCAAAAAAAATTAATTACATATTTAAACTTAAGGGTATTTTTGACTTTTTACGTCCGCAGTTTGACACCGTTAGTGCTAAATCTAACGGAAGTGGTGTGCAGGGAAAAAGAGTTCATAGCAGTGGCACATGTGAGAACTCAATTTTTTTAATAGTTTATGAATAATTACCAACTTATATATGGCTCTATTCGCTTCGCTAAAAAAACAAACCGAAATACTGTTCTGATTAATTTGTTATGAGATAAAAACTCTGTTTCGACAAAAAAAAAATAAACTAAAAAATACGGATTAAAAGACAAGCCAACAAGGCCATGGCACACACGTAAAAGCTTAAGGTAAAAAAAAAAGAACCCCTCGTAATGGCACACACGTAAAAGCTTAAGGTAAAAAAAAAAAGGAAACGGCGGCCCACTTGTCCCGCCCGCGATTCTTCTCCTCGCGGTGTTTCAACGTGGAAGCGGAATCGGCAGGCGTCCAGGCGAGGCGCAGTGGGGAAAATCCCACCGATTCGCTCGGCCCTCGCCCCTCCGCTCGCTCGAGAGGCACCGGCGCCGCCGACTCCGGGTTCCTCCTCCCCGCGAGCGGCCGCTGGGGCTCCTCTTCCTCCCTGCGACGCAGGCGCTGTCTCCCTCCTCGCGCGGCGGCGGCCGCCTCCTCCCAAACGGTACGCTTCGACTTCCTGCGCTTCTTAGGGAAGCTAGCTTTTGAATTTGAAGGAAACGAGCTTCGAATTGAAGCTAGCTGTCCCGAACTCCCGATATTCCGTTACGCTTCGCTTGCTTTCTTTTCCCTTTTTTGGCCCCTCGGGCTCTCATCCTTTTCCTCGTCCTGGCTTCCACTCAGCTCCGTTGCTTTTGCTGCTGAAGCCCCGCGGCACCGCCTCCGGATTCCCTCCGGCTTCTGCTCCGGCGGTCGGATCTCGCGCCGCGTCGCCCCGGTAAGCCCCTCCCTTCCGTCTCTCACTCTGCAGCAATCGCTTCGTTTTCCCTGTTGCTAGGTGCCTGCTACCAGTAGATGCCGCTGCTTGTGCTGGTTTGGGCTAGTAATTTCTCAGGGACAGGACGCCCAGTGGATCTGGAACGCGTGTGTTGTGCTGAGATCTGCGTGGGCTCGCGTAAGAGTAAATGGCTTGCTTGCTGGCGAAATAGTGCGTGCTGTGTTCGGCGTAGCTTCTGCTGGCTTGGCCGATAGGTCGATAGCAGGAACTCAGTTCTGGTCTTCTGGATAATAGAATTTCCTTTCAGAGCATATTGAAGTCAGCGGTGAGATAGTGACTTCCAGGTTTTGTAACTTGAATGCAGAGTGATGTGCCAGGGAGGTTGACCTTAGCCCGCTAGACTCTTGCTGGATTGAATTATTAGGACACAGCTGACTAGAGATTGACCCTTAACCTTGCTACACACTTTTTAGGAATTCAGTTGCGCTAAGTAGAGTTTTCTCAGGTGCAGATTAGTCAACACTAGAGAGTGGACAGCTCTATCACGTGTGATTAATTTTGTTTTTTTTCCCGTACCGTGTTATTGCTGACTTGCTGCAGCATTCCAAATTAGTAAGCACATTAAGGGAACTTTGCAAAGTGTAACGCCACAAAGTAAATAAACCACTATACGAAGCACTACAGGTCATTTCAGTTAGTGTTGGACTGTTAAGGATACGTTTTGATTTTGGGAGAGCCACAAGACCATTAATTTTTCTCTCGTGGGAACATGGTTTCTTGTTCTGTTGTTGTTCAATCAAATTGTACCTGTTATGTTTAACATTTTAACTGCAAGGTGCCATCTATAGATGTCCAAATGGGCGGTACGACACGAACACGATTAAGCATGGCATGGCTAGGCACGAGCACGATAGGCACAAGTAGCTAGCATGCCGTGTCCTTCCTTGCCGCTCATCGTGCTGAGGCAAGGGCCAGGCACGGATCTCCTTGCCCTTAGACATGCCGTGCCGGCACAACGGGCACGCACCCAAGCACAATAGGCATCTATGACACCAAGCCACTCAATTGGTTCAACATTGAAAAAAATTTAAAAAACACAAGATTACAGATTCTCAAAATCGATGTACATATTCACAAATCAACATCTCAATCAAATCAACAAAACTCGCCGTGGGTATTGGGGATTGAGGAATCACAAATCAACTTGCTGGTCAATGCTCACTGTCACTGCCTACCCGTGCCGGTGCGCACCATTCTCACCGTCGCCGCCCTGCCATTGCCGACTTGCGTTCAGTGGAGGGGCACTGGTCCACCGGGAGGAGAGGTGAGGCATAGGGGACCAAGGAAGCAGGGGCTAGGGAGAAGGGAGTCGCTGGCGGCGGCCGAAGGAGAGAGTGTAGCTGTCGGATGCGGGATAGTGCACCCAGAGGTCGGAGCGCCAGGCCGATGGCCTCGAGTGGGGAACGGGGTGGGGCCATGGCGGCAGATGGAGTGAGGAGCGCCGCAGCGGTGGATGGGGAGCGGACGGGAGAAGAGTGGACTGGAGAAGAGCAGAATGGAGGGGAGCGAACAGGAGAAGAGCGCATCCGAGAAGGGGAGGGGAGCGGACGAGAGGGGACTTGGGTGGCGGCCGAGGATGGGATGTCAGATGCATATGGTTAGGGAGATTTTATATCTGGTGCTAGAATACGTGCCTTAGCGGGCTGACCCCTTAATCGGGCCGTGCTTGTGCCAGCCTGTTTGGACATCTATAGTGCCATCCCCATCCATGGCAAAACAGAAAAAAGAATTTATAATTTTGCGAATTTTACGGCTGCGATAAACATTCAGTGTGGCAAAACTAATCCAAAATGTTTCAGAGTTTGGACTCATGGTGCATTTGGTGATGAACATGTAATGGCTGCTCCTTCTGGGTAAAAAACTGGATCGAAAGAAACATCACAAATACATTTTATGAATTATAAGTCTGGTCACAATGCTGAATCACAGGAAACAAAAAAAAAAAAAAAAAAAAAGAGAGAAATTTGAAGAAACAAGAAGGGCGGGTCTGGTGCAAGCGGTAGAGTCTTACCGCCTGTGACCGGAAGGTCCCGGGTTCGAGTCGCGGTCTACTCGCATTGCACAGGCGAGGGTAAGGCTTGCCACTAACACCCTTCCAAGACCCCGCACAGAGCGGGAGCTCTCTGCACTGGGTACGGCCTTTTAAATTTGAAGAAACAAGTTGTGCTGTCAGCATCTATATGAACCTGATTCCTTTACTGCATATGTTCTATGGAAATGTTAGTGGCACGTAGTTAATGTTCAGTTGACAATTTCTGGTTCTAATGATATCTGCTTGTCTATTTCAGCCTTGAGGCAGAAAGGTGTTCAACTCTGTTTCCAATTGATTGGATTGTCTGTCCGTTCATTGCTAGTGCATTATGGAAGATGATGGTACTACATGAGGTCAAATGAAAGTCATGCATATACCTTCCTTCTGATGGCCAGGGTATGTTAATTGTTCAGTTTGGTAGCTTTCTAGATACACCAGCACACCACAAATTCTCTCACACTCAATATGCCGACATGGGGTAAATCATCGTCAAAAGATGTTAAGAAAACCACCAAGGAAAACCTGATCGATACATTTCATCGCTTGATAAGTCCAAATGAGCAAAAGGGAAGCACAAAATCAAAACGGAATTGTAGGCGTGGCAATAATACAGCTGCTGAGAAAGTTTGCAAATCAACAACAGTGTCACGTCCAACTTCTCCTTCAAAAGAAGTTTCCCGCTGCCAAAGTTTTTCGGCTGATAGGCTGCATGCCCAGCCACTTCCTATTCCTGGAGTACGCCCTCGAGTAACTCGTGCAGTTGCTGATGTCAATGATTCAAAGCCCATATTGGAAAAACGTGGCAAACGACCACTGCTTCTGCCACTCCCTAAACCCAATCTGCTTCACCGGGGACCTGGAAGCAGTGATATTCCTTCAGAAATAGTGGTTGCTTCTGTCTCTAGCAATTGTTCTGCTGATAGTGAGGATCGTGCAGATTCTCAGCTTCAGAGCCCTGTTGGGAATGATACTGACAATGTAACAAAGGTTTCTTCAAAGAACAAGTCAAGGTACTCTCCTGACTCTTGAGGCCAAAAACACCACTTCTATATTTAATTCCTATATTCCAGGCTGTCATATTATTTGTGTGCCTCTTCATCTAAACATGTTCTAACATTTCCTTTTCTCTTTCTGAAGTAATGTTCGCAAGGATCACTCTGGTGCTATTACTACCAAGACCACGAAGGAAATATTGAAGCCAGCTGCTAATGCATTCCTCAGTAACCATACACAGTCCACGCCACCAAGAGGTATTTCAGCTGATAATAATCAACCAGATTTACAAAATCTCCGGGCAGTAGTTTTCGAGAGTGCTCCCAATAGTTTGATGTCAAGTCCTTCGAGAAGTCCGAGACCAATATGTCCTGATCATATTCCGACTTCAGCCTTTTGGGCAGTGAAGCCTCATGCTGATGTAACTTTCCTTGGATCTGGTCAGTGCTCCAGTCCAGGTTCAGGACAAACATCTGGACATAATTCAGTGGGTGGCGATATGCTAGCCCAGCTTTTTTGGCAACCCACCAGGGGTAGTCCAGAGTGTTCACCAGTTCCTAGCCCAAGAATGACGAGTCCTGGCCCTAGTTCTCGTGTGCATAGTGGAAGTGTTTCCCCATTGCATCCAAGGTCTGGAGGAGTGGCACCTGAATCTCCTACAAGTCGGCATGATGATGGAAAGAAGAAGCAAACCCATAAATTGCCCCTTCCACCATTGAGCATCTCTAACAGTTCATTTTTTCCGAATAACTCCACGCCAAGCAGTCCTATTTCAGTACCCCGCAGCCCTGGGAGAACAGAGAATCCATCAAGTCCTGCATCACGATGGAAGAAGGGCAAGCTGATTGGTCGCGGGACATTTGGTCATGTATATGTTGGCTTCAACAAGTACGTGTTTTCCTACGTATGAATTTCAAATGCAAACTTTGACTTTTCTATAAATATATGTTTAACATCTTTACAAGTTTCTGGGGCTCTTTTTGTTCGACTCACTTTCCTCTATTCTAATTATCCCACTATGAAATCCTTTCTTGTGAATGGAGTTATATAATATGCCTTGTTTGCTCAATGTTTCCCAGAAATGCTATAGCAATATTTGACCTGTAACAATCTTTATCTGTTTGCTAACTTTCCCTACAAGAGAATAGACTAGGTAGGTAGTATATTCATGTACCTTTATGGTGTAAGGTGTATTGTGCTCTGTTTTTCTCTTGAAAAGCTGGAAACACATTTTTTTTTCCTGAGAAGAGACAGATTACCCCTACCTCATCTTGTGTATGCCACACTTTACAAGTCTCAAATGGTTATGTTCAGCCACTAAGATTAAGAGAGGGTGTTCATATTGTACTCCCTGCTTATGTGCAAAGTGCAAGCAACTTTGTTGAGGTAGCAACAACAAAAAGGGGCATGTGGCATATGTACTAACTGTTAATACGGCACAAATCCAAAGCATCAAATGTAAAAGAACAGATCACGTAGTGAATAAAACTAGTTAGGACCATAACACTATATTTCTTGCATAAAACTTGTGAGTGCCATACTGCTATGCATAATTGTTGGCATAATTGCATTCTAGCAATGAGAGATGACAGCTAAAAGACAACTCATGTTGATGGTAAAGTTACATAGTCATAGGACACTGAAAACTATACATCCTGTTGTGTTAAAAAAGACCTTATGGTCCAAATAAAGTCAAGAGAAGTTTTTTTTTAATACTGATAACTGTTTTGAATAATAGGATATTGTCTGTTTCAGTTGATATAATCCGCTTTCCATTTGAGCTTTTTCAAATCATGCTTGACAGCTTGAGTTTTCATAACCTTTGCTTTGTATGACCTATCTTGATATCATCATCTGTATTACTATTAGTGATAGCGGTGAAATGTGCGCAATGAAAGAGGTTACCCTATTCTTGGATGATCCTAAATCAAAGGAGAGTGCAAAGCAATTGCGGCAGGTATGTTATTTCAGATGTATTTTGCACCACCTACAAAAATTTAGTTTATAAGTTGTTGTGTTTATTATTTTACATTATCTTTTAACTTTCCCCTTTCTGTTTAACAGGAAGTATCACTCTTGAGCCGCTTACGGCATCCAAATATTGTACAATACTATGGATCAGAAATGGTATAAACTGTTTCCTTCAATTACTAATTTACTATCTGTGTACGCTTGGTTTTGCTTGCTTCTATAATGCCTCTATTGTTCCTGCAATTTCAGAAGATTGTGTCTGTTATTTAATCTTAATTTTTTTACCCTTTTCCCTTCAGCAAGGGTGATAAAAAAGTTCACAACAGCTTGTCAAATATCATTAATAGGGCTATGCATACATTACTTTCATTTTTAGGCTTGAACTTATGTATTATGTTTGCCCAAAATCAGGTTGAAGATAAACTTTACATATATTTGGAATATGTTTCTGGTGGATCCATACATAAACTTCTTCAAGAGTATGGACAGCTTGGTGAACCAGCAATACGCAGCTACACCCAACAGATACTTTCAGGCTTAGCTTATTTGCATGCCAAGAATACGGTCCATAGGTAGCATTTCAGTTTTTTTTGGTTCAATCTTTTGGGTTGCACATTCAGCAAATGTCATCTATTTTTACTTTTGCTTTTGTGGCTGCTATTAATAATCTGTAGGGACATCAAAGGTGCAAACATACTAGTTGATCCAAGTGGCCGTGTTAAGCTTGCAGACTTTGGAATGGCAAAGCATGTAAGTCTCGAAGCCATTTTACTTGGTTAAAAGTAGTTAAGCGGGCTGATGTTTTCTCCATGTAGAAATATGGATTTGCTATCCTCACATTTATTTTCCCTTTGTAGTTTTTTCATCTATCCCCATAAACCATGACCACTTGAAAATTGAAATGGACCAATCTCTTCAAAAATATGCAGCCATATGAAAGTTGTGTTTCCAACAGCATTTCTACAATAGTCTGAGGTTCTGGTGCGGTGAGCATACTGGTCTAGCGGTCTAATTACTGGTGATAAGGTTATCCTAATCCTTTGTGGGTTATTCATTAATAACTCTGGTCATGGATAAGTGGCACTTCAGACATTCATATGCTCTCCAAAGCCTAACTTTGACAACCAGTTTCTGGTATAATATTAGTTGAATACCCATGCTCTGCGCCTCTGCCAAACATTTAGGTGCAGTCAATAAGCTTAGCTTATGAAATACCCTCATTCTTGGCTCATTGCTCCTCCAGCTGTGATGGCCTATGCCATACCCTCAGTGCCAGTAATAGCACATCTAAGCTCTGCGCCTCTGCTGCAGTATAAGTTGTGCCTCTGTTCCAGCGCAGCATCATGATATGTTACACACCACTTTGGCAAAATTGGGTACTGCTTGGACCAGGATAGGGGGTGGGTTCTGATACAACCTTTAATGGTGGTGAATAATTGGTAGGGTGCCCACCAAATGGAATGTGACAGAGGGAGGAGTGTTTTGAGATAAGATGAAAATTTACCGAATAATACTCCCTTTGATTCAAGTACATGTTGTTTAGGACATTGACACTGTCTACAAGGTGAAACTTTTACTGGCAGTTTCTGTGAAAAATATGTACATTTCAAAGAAAAGTAAGTAAATATTTTGAAAATGCTTTTGTCACACCACTTTACCCCGGAAGGTGGAACAATAACCACCGAACGTTAAAAACTTTTGGTACTGCTTGGACCAGGAATAGGGGTGGGTTCTGATACAGGATTAGTCCTTTTTTGGAATGGTGGTGAGGATAATTGGTTTGATGTGGCTGCCCACCAAATGGAATGTGACAGAGGGAGGAGCCCGAGTTTTGAGATAAGATGAAAATTTAGATAGGGATTGGTCTCCGCTTACGCCCGACGATAATACTCCTGCTTCTAAAGATTGGATTCATCTACATGTTGTTTCAAGATGATAGACATTGACACTGTCTTGCCGGGGGATGATGACAAGGTGAAACTTTTTGTAGGCGCCGCCTTGACTGGCAGTTTCTGTGATCTCCAAAATATGTTCCCGACATTTCAAAGAAAATTAAGTAAATATGTCTCTGAGAGAAACATCGAAAATGCTTTTCATGTTGAATCCAGTAACATCTATCCTATGTATTTTTAAAGCCATATTAATATTCAAACTTCAAACTTTTAAAAATTGTTAGTCAGGAGTCCTAAATTGACATATATCTTGAACCAGAGGGAGTAGTTGTTTGTTTGGATTTTTTTTTACTATAAATTTTTGCCGGTGCTTGTTGTTAATCTAGTAACATCTATCTATGTATTTTTTATATTATATTTTTATGTTGTTAGTCAGGAGTCCTAAATTGACATATATCTTGAACCAGAGGGAGTAGTTGTTTGTTTGGATTTTTTTCCTTACAATTTTATTTATGTGTGGGTTTTCTTTTCTTTCTGTAACCATAACTCACATCATTACTCCTCAACTTGTTAATTTTTTCTCTCCTTTTTGTGTTTGTTTCTCCCAGATCAATGGGCAGCACTGTCCTTTTTCATTTAAGGGTAGTCCATACTGGATGGCTCCAGAGGTACTGCTGAAAATCAAGCTCTTACTTTAGTTTGTATTTTTTGAATTCAAAATGTGTATCACATTATAATTTCTGTTAACACAACACTAACCATGCAACACAAATGCAGGTTATAAAAAATTCTAATGGATGCAACCTTGCGGTTGACATATGGAGTTTAGGTTGCACTGTCCTGGAAATGGCTACCTCAAAGGCCACCATGGAGCCAGTATGAAGGGGTCAGTATTAGACATCAAAATATAGCTGATATTTGTTCTAGAGTGTTGATGCTCATTCTGAGTTAACCATCTGCATTTATTGTTGACTAATGACTATTGCTGCCTACATCAGCAATCAGCATATCACTTTGCTTTCTAACTACATCAGCAGTTCAGAACTTAATTTATTATCCCATATCTATTCAGATCTAGCTGATTTCTTTGTGCCTTCTGGGTGCATCTACAGTGTTTACCTTGGAGTTTCATGAATGCCTTTATCTTATACTCCCTCCATCCCAAATTGTAAGTTTCATCTTGAATGTCTTTTTTCATTTGACTTATATATAAAAAATAATAATTTTATCAAAAGTAAGTATCATTAGATTCTTCATTAGTTATATTTTCATATGTACCTATTTGATGTCATCAATTGACTTGCCCAATTTTAGTCAAACTTGAAAAAGTTTGACTTTTTTTGAATGACTTACAATTTGGGATGGAGGACAAAAAATAATCATAACAGCCCTTGCCCACTTTCTTGGTTTTTTTGAGGACAAACTGGTTTAGATGAACTGGTTAGAACTTCAATTGCTTGTGCATTTATTGTAGTTCAAGTACTTGGTTGATGTCATGTACGGGATTGATGCTGGAAGGGCAAGGAGGCGGCCCAGGATCAGGATGCAGCACATACAAGTGTTTTGAGTTCTCAAGGACAAGGAGTCAGAGTCCTAGGTGCTTTTGTTTGGAAGATACGTTAATCGGTTTTAGTTAGATATATTAGCAGATTGGATTAGAATTAGTTAAAGTCGTATGAGAGGAAGGACTTGTAACTTTTCCTTATATATAGGTCACATGTATCTGGAAAACCTCAAGAATAGATTAAATCTAGTTCCCTGTTCCCTCCTGTTCTTCTCCTACCTTTTGTTCCTGTGCAATCGCTGGCGCCTAAATCTCAGCCTCACCGTCCAGGTTCCCGTCCTACTACCTTGTACGACTACACCCTTTGCAACCCGCCAGCAACCAACCAGCCACTGCCATCCCAATTTACTGAAAAGATACATTTTCTCAAAAAGAAAGAAAAACGACGAACAACTTATTTACTGTGAATTAGTTTAATATGCTATATAATCCCCACTGTTTCACATATTTCCTTCATTTCAATGAACATATCGGTTCAAGATAATGGGCCATTTCCTCAAGATACTGAATTCTACCATTTACTGAGAGCACAGATAGGATGTGCAATTACATTGACATCCAGAGAGCGGAATTCCACACTGGGTGAATGAATGAAAAGTTACTTTTTTCCTGAATTTTACCAAGAATTTCTTGCTATCTGAAAGTGGAATCCAAGCTCATGTACCTTTATGGAGTTATGAAATATTGGACTTCTGTTAATTGTTAACTTAATCATAAATGCAATTCAGGTATGAATGTTTCCCTTTTATTTGCCAACAGATTGCTGCAGTGTTCAAGATTGGGAACAGCAAGGAACTTCCGCCAATACCGGATCACCTCTCGGAGCACTGCAAGGACTTCATTAGGAAGTGTCTGCAACGTGACCCATCTCAACGTCCAACGTCAGTTGAGCTTTTGCAACACCCATTCATACAAAATGGAATTTCACTTGAGAAATCTGTTATTCCTAATCATTTGGAGCATTTGGCTGCCATATCATGCAGAACAAAACCCAAGGTACCACCTGAATGCTACTATTCTCATTTGATTCTTCAGCTCAAAATGGCATATCTTCTCAAATTAAAAACTGATGTATTTATCTTCAGTGAATTTCATATGTTTCAGTAATTATGTGCATCAGAAATTTATATGTTAGTCTCTTTTGAACTTCTTATGGTTTCTGTTAGTTTATCCATTGTTGTCAAATTGTACACCTATATGAAATTTCGTGTTTTTATTATTTTTTGGGCATAAAAACAATTAAATTCTAATCAAGATGGAGCATATCCTTGGTACCTGGCAAGTGGGCAGTGTGAAATTGAATTGGAAAGTGACCAAAGGCAAAGGAGAAAAACTGTCGATCCAGCTTACTCAGAGCAACAATCAGTTGATAAAGGGGAGTAGGACATGATATGAGACGGATGATGCCAATATTCACAGCACATCAGAAAGCAGGTTGGAGCTTGGTTTGGTGATGCTTTGTGCAGCTTTTGGCATTTCTCTGGTTGAATGTCTGTTTCTTTTGGAGAAGATGCTACCACAGGATAGAATGGGGATACAGGGCAGAGGAGCATTCATTTTTCAGTGACATTTGAGGGATCTGGAAATTTTACAAGGGCATATAGAAAAGTTTCCTTGTTGATTTAGCTCAATTGAACTGATATATATATACCTGTCTACAATTCCTGAGTGTTAATTTGTTGAAACAGACCATGGATAGTTGGATTTTCTTTCATTTAAGATTCTTATGATCTGATCTCCTTTGGGACTTGATTTGCCAGGTGGCCGTGCAGACAAGAAATGCCTCCTTAGGTTTCGAGGGTCAGACTATTTACCAAAGAAGGGGTGTAAAATTATCTTCAAAACACAGGTACAACAATACAAGTCTACAACATATCTTACTTCCTGCTACAATTTTTCAGAGAGGATGTTTACGGAACCTAAAACAAAATTAGTTGTTAAAGTGTTCCATAACTAATCAAACTGCAGCTACTCTATTCATGTATGACAGTATTTATGCTTCCTGCTACAATTTTTCAGAGAGGAGGTTATGGAACCTGAAACAAAATTAGTTGTAAAAGTGTTCTATAACGAATCAAACTGCAGCTACTCTATTCATGTATGCCAATATTTATGCGTGAATCCAGATAGAGAAGAAAAAAAAAACTATCTAAGCATGCACACCTCTGCCCTCTAATTCTTATCTGCTTGCAGTGATATCCATATTCGAAGCAATATTTCATGTCCAGTTTCTCCATGTGGAAGCCCCCTCCTAAAGTCGAGGTCCCCCCAACACACAAGTGGCAGAATATCACCCTCTCCTATTTCGAGCCCCAGAACTATGTCAGGCACTTCCACACCCCTATCTGGTGGTAATGGTGCTATTCCTTTTAACCACCTAAGGTATGCAACTTACAGCAGTGAGGGATTTGGGACCACATCAAGAGGCCTAGACGATCACTTCCCCAACCGGCATAAAGATCCGATCCTTGGGCATTTCGCTCAGGCGCATCAAGTCTCACAGGGACCTCGGGAAAGAGTAGTATCTGAAGCTGATATTCTGAGCCCTCAATTTGGAAAGAAACTTGGAAATGTTTTTGACTTGCGGGAAAGGCTGTCTCCTTCTGAACATTTTACTCGTCATGCCTTGGTGGATCATGTGGAGCTAAATCCTTCACTAGACCTGACTTCCGGCTCTCAAACCCTGGACTAAAGCGTGGTAAATAACTATTGAGTGTAAAAAGCAGGGTGGCATTTTTTGAAGTTTGTTAAGGTAACTGGTGGTTTTTGGCTGCTATGACCATTCAATGACTGCAACTGTATCATAGTATCAGAAAGATTGACAATTCCTTTAGAAGCTAATGGTTGGCAATGAATGGGATCTTTGTTGTCATCAATGCAATTCAAGCCAACAATGGTATGACCCTTCTCCTAATCTACATCTGTTTTACAATTTTACAATCTGCATTCATTTACACACCTCCGTGGGTCAAACTATTCTAAATCAGTTGCAGATTCAATGTCATAGCTTTCTAGCTGCTAGGAACTTGTAGTATCAGTGCAACATTGTTATGAATGTTTTCTCCTTGGCTTTGTATCCTTTGATCATTCTATTGTTTTTACTGCAGTAATTAAAAATAAACTGATTTCTGCTCTGAGATTTGTGTTAGATGTTAGTCTGCTATCGTCTTATATGTGTGGTTCCTGCAGCTATGCACCTTTTTGTCATTGTTATATTTATCTAGCATGTGCAGAGATTTGCTTGCACCTGCTTTGCATTTCAACTTTAGCTTATTGAACATGATAGTTAATGAAGATACCAAATTTGTTAAAAAAAAAAGATTCTCATGTTGTTCTGTGAATTGCAGATTCTGCCTATTCCTACATGCTAACAAGTAACAAGTGTCAAATGATGGGACTGTATATTGGATTCCCAGACTGAATCACTGAAGGACCCAAAGCAGTAACTCTCCATTTGTATACCCCTACTCACCCCCAATATGTAACCTATTCTTTCTTCCAATTTTTTCTTGGCGTCGTGATGCCCATGTACAGAAGGAATCTCAATTAGGAGCCTAGTTTTTGCACAGGAAAAACAGTTGAGCTAGTCGTTCAGCAATCAGTACCAATTTATCTGGTCATCCACAGTTACATATTATCTCACCCATTGTTGGAGCTGGTGCAGTCGTGCTGCAAGTCGATTCAGCATTAATGAAATTATTTTGTACGTACCAGTTATTTGACTAAATGAGCCAATTCATTCACTGTACGTCAGTGCCAGCTACTCGAAATTTATGCTAAGAATCTGGTCGCATGTCGCCCATACTAGAACTTGTTTTACACAGCTGTTGGGATTCCGAAAGTTCTATTCGAGCAACAAAGCGCTGGTTTGCTGCTTGATGGCAGAAATAAAATGTACAGTGGTGATTTGCTGTCAACTGTTACCTGTCTGGGTGGCATTCGTCAGAATTTCTGCCTGCTCCATGAAATCCAACCGTTGCATCAGGCAGTTACTGGCATGCCCTAGGCTGCTTACAAGTTACAAGGCGATGGTCCCGTCCCCGCTGGGCGCTGGCCCTTGCGGTTTATGGCGATCTATCTCGTGTGGTGTGTCCGAGGTAGCGATCGCCTGCCCTTGCCCGTGGCCTGTTTGACGGCATCGGAGCCGTGCGAGCATGTGCCTCGGCACCTCGCCGTGGTCTCCGGTCATGGCTGGTGGCCAGCCCTACGATAATGCACCTCTCGGAGTTGCGCTCCTTACCCCTACCCTACGTTCTACCTTGGATGCTCTGGTGCTGCGGGACCAGATCAATCTCATATGGTCCTGTGCCATCAACTGTGAGCAGTAATGGCAAGAGCAAGCAAGGCGTCTCCGGCTGAGCGGCCCGCGAGAAGAAACAACAATCAGCCACGGTGTAGCCGCGCTGGTTTTTGTAGCATTGCGCCGGGATCAGGCCGGATGAGAAGGACCAGTCCTGAGTCCTCCACCCTGGCAGTGGGCAGGCGCCTGGCAGGCTGCTGCGAATGTGGGGTGACTCATCATCGTCCTTTTCGTCGGCGCCAACCCCGCCAACTTGAGAACCCAAATCGCTTCAACCACAAAGCTATATTGCGCTGCGTAGCCGTTGTCACGGTGCTGTACTGTAGTTTTGTGCTGAGATGCTCTGCTGGGCGCTGGCCGTGGCACAGTAGGGTTGGCCATTGGCCACATTGCAGAAGGGCGGCAGCGGCCGAATGGATGAACTCTTGAGGCTCGGCTCGACTCGACTGTCTCATAACTTCAAAGATTTTTTTTTCACATAACAACAGCGGCGGCATATTACACAATTGGGTACTGAAATTACAAGTCTGGGGGTTCAGATAAAAGCAGAGCAAACTTGAAGAGGAACGGAGGAACTCCACGTAACATTGTAGGCGTTGGAAAACGACCATGAATAACCCTCATCAGGCGCAGGTTGCCTCTTGAATCGGCACCTCAAAGCAGCACGAGCTTACTTAAGACCTGCTCTTGAATGGGATGGCCCTGATGATCACCTGGTGGTAGATGGCAGCCAGGGCAGCGCCGATGAAGGGGCCGACCCAGAAGATCCACTGCAAAGGCAGAAATTGTTGAGGTCAGCATGCGAGGGTGCATATGCATAATGCGTTAATGCAGGTCGTTGTCCTAGAAGGCAGTGGTTGGCTGAATGGCTGCTACATTAAAGCAGCATCACCCTTCGGATAAGGGCAGGATTCCATAATCTAATCAAATTAACCAACAAATGCTTATGAGATTATATATCCTAGCATATCAACCTTCAGAAATTATGCAACTGATCAATGGTTTCTACTTTCAAGCAGTTCTGCAGTTGAATGCTGTAGACATATTTTTACTTCGTAGTTTCTCCCCAATTTTACATCAGCTATTCAGACTCCATCTCACTATTTAATTTCAGATGATTTCATTTGATCAGACTAGACTCTTCATGTTACTTCTCGCAGCAAGCTAAACAGTTTTTGCTAAGGCAATGGAACTACTTATAACAGCTAAACAGCATGAAATGGAGAAGAGCGTTGTTTTCACTCACGTGGTCAGACCAGGCATGGTGCTGGTTGTAAATGACGGCGGCGCCAAGGCTCCGCGCCGGGTTGATGCCGGTGCCGGTGATAGGGATGGTGGCCAGGTGGACCAGGAACACCGCGAACCCGATTGGGAGCGGGGCAAGGATCTGTTCATCCCACAAAGAAATCATCTGTCAAGCAAGCTTCCACGGAGGCACGGACAAGGTTAATACTGGAGCTCCGAACACTCACCGGCACATGGGAGTCCCTGGCGTTCCTCTTGGCGTCGGTGGCGGAGAAGACGGTGTAGACGAGGATGAAGGTGCCGACGATCTCAGCGCCGAGGCCGTCGCCCTTGGTGTATCCGGGCGCGACGACGTTGGCGCCGCCGCCGTTGCCCATGTACAGCCCCTGCTGGAACCCCTTGACGACGCCGGCGCCGCAGATGGCGCCCAGGCACTGCATGATGATATAGAAGACCGCCCTGGTGAGCGACAGCTTCCTCGCCAGGAACAGCCCGAAGGTCACCGCCGGGTTGATGTGCCCGCCTGCAGTTGCGATTGCGAGCGAGAGGAGAGAAAAAAAGCCATCAGCAGCAGCTAGCACGAGTGCACGACGAGGCAAGGCAAGCAGAGCAAGGAGGAAACCAGAAGAAAAGAAACAGAGGACGAAGTAGAGAGGTGGCCGGCGGTACCGGAGATGCCGGCGGTGCAGTAGACGAGGGCGAAGATCATGCCGCCAAAGGACCAGGCGATGCCCTGGATGCCGACGGTGGCGCACTTGGAGGTGGACTTGGAGACGCCCATGACGGTGAGGATGGAGATGTAGAGGAAGAGGAAGGTGGCGACGAACTCGGCGATGCCGGCGCGGTAGAAGGACCACGACTTGAGCTCCCCGGGCTCGAAGAGCGCCGCCGGCGGGGGCTCCTTGTAGTCCTTGTCCTCGGTGCCCTGCGCCGCCGTACCGATGGGCTGGCGCTCCGAGAACTTGTTGGCGCCCAGGCGCACGTCCTCCTCCTTCCCCTCCATGTCGCCGGCTCTTAGCAGCTTCTTGCAGCAGCCGAGCCTGGCTAGCTAGAGCTAGCTAGAAGAAGAAGCTAGTGCTGAGCTGAGCTGAGCTGAGATGGTGTGGTGCTTGTGAGGACTGCGTCGCAGCGGGAGTGAAGAGTCTTATAGTGAGCAGCAGCCATGGTGGCGAGGAGGTGGTTCTGGAAGGAGTGGGAGCAATGGGTGTGGTGAGGTGAGGTGTGGTGACGAGGACGGCGCGGTGGGGACGGTGACAGCCTGGTAGAGGGAGGAGGAGCGGGATGGTCGTTGGCTTGCTGCTGCCATGCTGTTATCTTCAAATAGTTGAGGTTCAATAACAAACATATCTTCTGAAAATTAAAAGAATATCGGTCTGGAGGATAATTCAGAAATACTCCTACTAATCAGCAATTGTGAATTTGTCATGGAGATACCAATCACACAACCAGGATTTTGCAACATGGGGCAAGAGGTCCCGGTTGTGTCGACGAGACCCTAATCATACATGAAACCTGTTTGTGCATCACTCCATTGTCAAACATTAGCGGAATTTATTTCTCCCTTGCCTTCTTGTTTATAATCTCATTTAGATTCTTCGTCGACAATCTTTGACTGCAATTTTGATTGCTTGTTTTCTTTTCTCCACATTACTCTTTCGCCTTGCCGAGTCAGGATACATTGTGCCCTTCAAGGATTTATTTGAGTAGAGCGCACAAAAGGTACGACGAAAATGAGGGGGGAGGATATGCGCTCCTGCGCGCTTGGCTTATAAGTCGTATTTTTTTAGTCAACGAATAATATTTTTCTCTCACAATAAATGAGCCAATAGTACTTTCAGTCATGGCTTATCAGGCAAACGAACAGGAGCAACAGTACATGCACTATATCACAAGTTCACAAAAAGGGCACCCAGGGTGGGTTTTGTTCAGTCGTCTGATTAGCGCTATCTGTTCTTTTTGTCACGGCAGCCCCGGCCGTCTGCCGTGCTCCATGAGTCGTCATCGCATTTTCTATGCTAACAATGACACAAAAAGGAGAGGAGGGGAAATAAAAGGCAATTAGTTTAAGCCAGTGGCTTTTCCTTCCACGAGGGACGGCAGCTTCATGCTTACTGTTGCGCGCCGACGTCATTCTGTTGGCCAACTCT